GCATTTTAAACTGGTCTTTTAGGAACTTATTGTTAATTATTTCAAAGAAAACATTTAATAAAAAACACCTACGTATTTATGTATTTTAGGCTTATTTAAAATGGTAATTGAATAAAAAAAAACCGGTGAGAACAACAATGTTCCATATACACATCGTTTTAAAAATAAAGTGAGTTATTGTAGCTAGCTATTAGAAGAAAATTTATCACTCAACCTCAGTCAAAAACAAGTCTAAGTGAATCATAGGCACATGAACAACTGCAACATATTACGAATACATATTAAGTTTAAGATATCTTTATAAAATATTTTTTTTCTTGTGTGATTTTTAAGAAATATACTGTGCTAATAAATGTATTTTTTATTTCATTGTATGTATACCACGTTCATACCAAAAAGTGTAGTTCGATTTCACGTTTGTATCGCGGTATAAGCACTGCGAATAACGTGAACCGCTAACTACTTAGGTAAAATGTTATTTATTATTACTACAAAAAGCTTTTATTTACAACAACACGTACAACGACAACGTCTGTCGGGTCCGCTAGTATACAATAAAATATTATATATATACCTTACCAAACCAAGTTGCATACTTGGTTTGGTAAGGTATGATCTTTACGGAGAATTTTGCCATTTAATGTCTACTGTTCGCCTATTTTGCGTATCAGGGTCGTTGGCTTCCATGGCCATCCCAACTCCTCAAGATAGTTTAATGCACTTCTGTTGTCGCCGATGATATCAAGAATTCTAGTTGACCCCATGTGGGGATCGGACCCACAACACTCAGCGTAGTAGTAAGCGGCGTGGCGACCGCTTAAACCACTGTCAAGTGTGTAGCAACAACCTATTTTCTCTGCATCACGCCATAGTTTACTGCTAGAAACTGCTTTAGGTATTACATGAACTTCGCTTTTGTTACAATTTTAGTGGGATTTAAATAGGAAAACACTCATTTATATGGTTAAATATTGAATTAAACTACTTTTTTGGGTTCCGTACCTAAAAAGGAAAAAACGGAACCCTTATAGGATCATTTTGTTGTCCGTCTGTCTGTCTGTCAGGGCCGCAAAATACGCAGATTTCGATACTCTTAAGGGAATCAAAATTTATAGGGTACTTTCCGTTTGGAGTGGATCCGGTGGCTCGAGGTGGCTCTGCACAAATCCGAGGCCGAGTTCTTTCATGGGCCTCGGAGGAAGCCACCTGAGGAATCCAGTCTTATATTAGGAGGCACTTGCATCGGCATCGAGCCCTCGATGAGGTATTTGAGCCTCGAACTCGATGGCCGATGGAACTTCGGACATCATTTCCGAGATCCGATCCCCAAGTTAGTTGGAGCAGCGCGTGCATTGGCGCGGTTGCTGCCCAACATGATGTGACCCGAAGACTCTTGCAGAAGACTCCACTCGGGGGTTGTGCGGTCCATGGCCCTGAAGGCTAGCAACGTCGCACTGCTGCGACCTCCACAGCGAATACTGGCCATCAGGGACATAAGGGGGTCGATCGCACGATCTCCTTTGAGGCAGCAAGTCTCCTGGCTGGAACTCCACCGTGCTACCTGGAGGCGAGAGCCCTTGCGGCTCTGTCTCAGTGGCGTAAGGAGGCGCGGGAGTTGGGTCGTAGTCCTGAGACTCGAGTAATCGAAGACCAGAAGTCTCAACTCCCGCTTGGGCAACCAAGCACTGAGCACACCGTTATCGCGGCAGTAAGACCTGTTATGGAGGATTGGCTCGAGAGGCATCACGGAACCCTCTCATACTGGTTGACGCAGGTGATCAACGGGAAAGGATGCTTCGGAGATCCCCTGTGTTAGATCCGCAAGGAGCCAATCCCTGAGTGCCACCACTGCAATGGCCGGACCGCTGACACGGTGCTCCACACGCTGGCAGAATGCCTGGCGTGGGTTGAGCAGAGGCGCGACCTCGTAGCGGCCATCGGAGTGGGAATTCTCTCGCTCGGCAATATGATTGACGAGATTATGATTGTAGGCACGGCGAGATTCGATACCTGTAATATTTATAATTATGTGCCTACAAATTTGTGCGGAACGGTGGGCGAGTGCGACTCACACTTGGCCAGATTTTTTTAAAAGAAAACGCAACATCAAAATTAACCTTAAATAAAACTTGTTCGTAATCTTTTTTATTGAATTAAAGTCAAGTAACTACATGAATCAGGTAATTTCCCTTTAGCTTCATAATGATACGAGTATAATGCATGCCTGCTCGTAATTATTAGTTCTACTGTTTCAATGTTAAGCCGAAGTAATGATGCTCCCTCATGCAATAAAACAGCTGTCCTTTCATACATTTCGCTTCTGGTTCCATTAACCTCTTCAATGACAAGTTAATCACCGTATATAGCAATTACTACCTCAGGATTTTCTTTAAAGACAAGATGCCTTATAAATATCTTGAAGAATTCTAGTTGACCCCATGTGGGGATCGGACCCACAACACTCAGCGTAGTAGTAAGCGGCGTGGCGACCGCTTAAACCACTGTCAAGTGTGTAGCAACAACCTATTTTCTCTGCATCACGCCATAGTTTACTGCTAGAAACTGCTTTAGGTATTACATGAACTTCGCTTTTGTTACAATTTTAGTGGGATTTAAATAGGAAAACACTCATTTATATGGTTAAATATTGAATTAAACTACTTTTTTGGGTTCCGTACCTAAAAAGGAAAAAACGGAACCCTTATAGGATCATTTTGTTGTCCGTCTGTCTGTCTGTCAGGGCCGCAAAATACGCAGATTTCGATACTCTTAAGGGAATCAAAATTTATAGGGTACTTTCCGTTTGGAGTGGATCCGGTGGCTCGAGGTGGCTCTGCACAAATCCGAGGCCGAGTTCTTTCATGGGCCTCGGAGGAAGCCACCTGAGGAATCCAGTCTTATATTAGGAGGCACTTGCATCGGCATCGAGCCCTCGATGAGGTATTTGAGCCTCGAACTCGATGGCCGATGGAACTTCGGACATCATTTCCGAGATCCGATCCCCAAGTTAGTTGGAGCAGCGCGTGCATTGGCGCGGTTGCTGCCCAACATGATGTGACCCGAAGACTCTTGCAGAAGACTCCACTCGGGGGTTGTGCGGTCCATGGCCCTGAAGGCTAGCAACGTCGCACTGCTGCGACCTCCACAGCGAATACTGGCCATCAGGGACATAAGGGGGTCGATCGCACGATCTCCTTTGAGGCAGCAAGTCTCCTGGCTGGAACTCCACCGTGCTACCTGGAGGCGAGAGCCCTTGCGGCTCTGTCTCAGTGGCGTAAGGAGGCGCGGGAGTTGGGTCGTAGTCCTGAGACTCGAGTAATCGAAGACCAGAAGTCTCAACTCCCGCTTGGGCAACCAAGCACTGAGCACACCGTTATCGCGGCAGTAAGACCTGTTATGGAGGATTGGCTCGAGAGGCATCACGGAACCCTCTCATACTGGTTGACGCAGGTGATCAACGGGAAAGGATGCTTCGGAGATCCCCTGTGTTAGATCCGCAAGGAGCCAATCCCTGAGTGCCACCACTGCAATGGCCGGACCGCTGACACGGTGCTCCACACGCTGGCAGAATGCCTGGCGTGGGTTGAGCAGAGGCGCGACCTCGTAGCGGCCATCGGAGTGGGAATTCTCTCGCTCGGCAATATGATTGACGAGATTATGATTGTAGGCACGGCGAGATTCGATACCTGTAATATTTATAATTATGTGCCTACAAATTTGTGCGGAACGGTGGGCGAGTGCGACTCACACTTGGCCAGATTTTTTTAAAAGAAAACGCAACATCAAAATTAACCTTAAATAAAACTTGTTCGTAATCTTTTTTATTGAATTAAAGTCAAGTAACTACATGAATCAGGTAATTTCCCTTTAGCTTCATAATGATACGAGTATAATGCATGCCTGCTCGTAATTATTAGTTCTACTGTTTCAATGTTAAGCCGAAGTAATGATGCTCCCTCATGCAATAAAACAGCTGTCCTTTCATACATTTCGCTTCTGGTTCCATTAACCTCTTCAATGACAAGTTAATCACCGTATATAGCAATTACTACCTCAGGATTTTCTTTAAAGACAAGATGCCTTATAAATATCTTGGGAGTAACCTCCAGTTTTACTAATTTTTGATGATTAATTTGTACCTTTTTGGCGGTTAAGCCATCATATGAGCAGACTTTTTAATATTATTATTAAAACAGAAAAGCAATCATGTTTATTTCTTTAATGTTTCTCTACAAATAAGTGCACAATTTTTTTTTATGGTAAACATTACACCAAATTTTTAGCTAATCTCAACACCATCGATTTCGATTCCTTACAACTTAAACAGGCTTTTATGCCTCTGTCAATCACATATGTACAAGCATCATGCATGTAAACTTAATAGCTTTTGTACCTCTTTAATTGCATCATGTATACAGTTGTTGTATGGAAATATTGAAGACAGGTATGTGTGTGTTAAAACACTAACAATTTAAATAATTATTTGATTACTTACGTCTGTCAATTAAGAAACTTTGTTCGCAGTATACAACCTGTTTACGGTATAAAGTTTAACTCTTTGTGTAACAAAAAAACCATTAAGTGAATCTCCAACAAAACATAAATAACCAGTTCTAATTTAATACGTAGGTATCCACACAAACAGACTACGTTGTATGTATATCCGGTTTATGGGAATAACCAGCTTAATACGTGAACAGACTCCGCAAATTGGCAGGCGTGTTTCATCACGTTATTGCTTATTATACCTCACGTACTTTTACACATTTTTTTTTTGTTCCTATGTAGAAAACGCATCTAATACGAGAACACAGATTAGTTATTGTCGTATTGGAAACAAATGATTTTACTGTTTGCCTAGCGTCATCGTGGGAATTGATCGTTCCGCGAAGTGATCCAACCAAGTGATCAAACAGTAGGCAGTCGGTGACGTCGTCCGTCGCAGGAAAATCGCGTCATATAAATAGGTTTGCTTTGTTAGTCCTGCGTCAGTGATCGCAATGGGATACGGTGGTGTGGCGGTAAGCGCGATTGCGCTGGTAACGTTCGTCGTTGCGGCACCTTCGGTAGGGGACAATGCGCTGGATGTTGGCGAACGGGTAGTTTTAGTTGCGCCGGTGCTCGCGCCCCCAAAGGAATCGAGAACTCACTCGACGGACCGGTCGAGGCAGTTCCCAATACTGGTACTCTTGGCACAGCCGAACCTGTCTGGGTATGGTCGCCCTGAGCCCGAAGAAAGGTCCTTAAAAGGCAACCCGGAGCCCATTTATGTCAAGGTGATTATGTTGTTTATGTTTATGTAAAATTAAAACACTATTAAATTGCTATTTATTAGGGAATTTAAGGGGATTATGTACGTATAGTAATTGAACAAATTACATTTCAACTACATCAGTAATTTGTGACTCTCGTGAGTATTAAAAGTGTTGAAAATGTCAATCATTATTAAAATTTGGTGGTAAATTTAAGGTTAACCTTAGTTAAATCTCATTTGGATAGATCTTTTTTTTATTTGAAGCACTGTCATTGCGATCGCCATAAAAGAAGATTTTCACTTAGTAGACAGTAACAACCTTGCATGGTTATAATTTCGACACACATAAAAAAATAAAACAAAAAGAAGAATAGAAAAACTTAGAGAAAAAATTTTTGTTGATGTTACTTCTTATAAAGAATTAATTGGAGTCATTAATTCAGTGGTTGATCCGTTGTTGATTGTTTTGTTGAGTTGGTTTTACAATATTTGTGTGTTAGTATTTATTGCGCTTGAAACGGCTCCTCTGATTATCATGAAATTTAACATGTACATTACTGGAGTTAAAGAAAAATCTTCCCTCGGGAAATCTTTTTAAATTCTTAATTTAAGGAGAAGCCGCGTTTTTCAAAATGATGCTGTATCAAGTTTAATAAAAGTCATTACAACATCATCATTAGTTTCTGCTGTCAGTAATTAAATGTGCCTGAGCTTTTCAATAAACAACAACATTGTCAATAAATTAACTATCCCCTAGGAATTTTTGGCACCCTACTTTCTTTTCTATACTCCTGACTATAAATTTGCAAAATTCATAATTAGCGGTTGAATAATTAAAATATAAAAGCGTTACAAACAAATAAATCAATCATTTTCGCATTTAGAATATTAGTACGGATAAACTCAAATACTCCGTACCTGTTTAGTCTACTGATGGAATAATTTTAGTATATTTTTAAAGATCCGTTTTCTGAAAGCTAGTCATTAAAATTGTACCGCACGCTTGTCAACGTGGCTGTAAAGGAATATTTGATAATAGAGTAATAACCGGTAGTTATGTATCATTTTACAAGAGGACGACACATTAGTGAATAAGATACATATTTTGACTATAAATTCTCTTAGTCTGCAGGCGGACAACTTAGTTTTCTTTTTGTGGTTGAATTTTTAATAAGTTCTAATATCGTTATATTGAAGTTTACAACAAATTTAGCTTCGCTGGGTTTCTTAAAATTAGTTTTAAGAGAGTTACATTACGCTATGTTTAGGAGACCGACCACAAACATAAACCTACTTTTCGACTCTGACTTTAAGGATTTTTAAAATCTGTTACATGTTTTATTTACCACAAGTACCATACCGTCATAGACTAAACTATTTAAAGCTTCTATGGAAGTTTTGTTGCGAATCCTATTGGTATTGTAATGTAATGTATTTATAATGTTTTATTTTATTCACAGCGTCTTCAAGATCAAGAAGAACTAGCAGAACATAGAAGAGAAAAGCGCCATTTGCTGACAAAGAAATTGTTAGGTATTGGCGGAGGTGGCCTTGCCTTCGGTGGCGGTTTTAGCCTCGGCGGGGGAGGGGGAGGTTATGAGAATTACGGAGGCGGTGGTAGAGACTTTGGCGGCGGTCACGGTGGGGGTTACGGCGGTGGTTACGGCGGAGGCTACGGAGGAGGTTACGGTGGCGGCTTCGGTGGAGGCGGAGGAAATGGTGGTGGATTGGGCGGAGGCCACGGTGGTTACAATGAAGCCTATGAAGAACCCTCAAAAACTATAATCGTTAAAGTGGTTAAACAGCATGGTACGAATGCACTGCACTGCTTACTAGCACACCTATTAGAACACGGCTTTTGTTATTGTCCTAACCATCACCACCTAGTACAATATACATTTATGACAGCGGTTCTCCTGAAATCTTGGTTATTCACAAGGAAAAAAATCACTGTTTAGTATCAATAGCACTAAATAGAACTAGTCTTAAATTTGATTTAAAAAAAATCACACCAAATCTTTAATTATAGCTAAATCTGAATCTTTTATTACCGTTGATCATACCTGCTATATGTGACTTGGCTTTAAGTGTTGTATATTAACACTACTGTACGCTTGCATCTGTAGATGCTATTTACAAAATGAACCTAATAACTATTGTAAATCCTATACAGAGCAAAACCTGCTTACTGGTACTAGAAATATGTATATTTTAGATGTACGTACTTGTTTATTGGATAAAAATTTACCGGGTTTAGTTGTGAAAGCTAATGGTTTTGTAGATTTGTGTTTAAATTGGACCCGTTTTCAGTGTTTCGTAATTCCAGGTCATGGCGGACACCACCACGGAGGTGGTTATAATGGAGGTGGAGGCTACAACGGAGGCGGAGGATACAACGGAGGTGGAGGATATAATGGAGGAGGAGGATACGGCGGAGGCGGTGGATATGGCGGCGGCGGTGGATATGGCGGCGGCGGTGGATATGGCGGCGGTGGTGGTTACGGCGGCGGTGGTGGTTACGGCGGCGGCGGCAGCAGCGGCGGCGGAGGTGGTTACGGTGGAGGTGGAGGCGGAGGTGGAGGCGGAGGCTATGGAGGAGGTGGTCATGGGGGTGGCCCAAGTTACGGCGGCGGCGGATGTGGTGGGGGTTGCGGTGGCAACTACGGTGGAAGCAGTGCTACTGCTACTGCAACTGCCACTGCAACGGCTCACGCGTCATCATATGGGTAAATATATATATTTTTTACTGTAATAATCCTTATTTTTAACATATATAATTATTATATACCGGGACATTACTTCGAACTTCCATTCAATTATTAATACTTATTTATAATCATTTCCCTTTCAATTAAAAATAAGCTATAGTGACGTTTGTGAACAGGTGATTTCGATATTTATCCGATTTTTATCAAACATCGTAGAGTTTTGTCAGATCGTTAGTTAAAATACTTTATCATTATTTTTATCTTAAAAGCTGCAGTGGCACAAATTAATGTCAGAATTTACTACCAATCATATTTTAACAACAGCATCACAGAAATATGTAAAGAGGAGGTTAAAAAAGGACTGAGTGAAAATATTTGACTGATGGAACTCAAATAGCACACTCCGCTGGAGTTCACTAGACTTTATATAAAAAGCAATTTAGTGTTCAGTAGGAGAGGAAAACGATATATTGAATTGACCTAACACTGTCCGGTGTCGTCGTTCATTGCACTCTTGACTTTTTTCACCTCGGCTAGGATATTATCATAGAAAAATATGTATAATTGATGTTTGCGGGAAAACCTAAAAATATCTAATGATTGACTTTTTACAAAATGGCCGATTTAATTAGCCGACGGGTTTTGTATAATCAGTTTATGATAGAATGACGTATGATGTGTTTTACAATTATTTGTTCCTGAATAATTACGAAAGATTTACTTTATTTACGAAAGAATTACTTGTCAACTACTGTTACTATAATCAATTTACTTTAATTTACTTTAATTGATATTAAATTCACTGAAATTCACATTTAACACACACAACACTTGTTTAAATTAAAATTACCACAACCATTGTTTGACATTTCAACATGACAAGTGTATTTATCAACTTGAACGCTCCGTTATAGCCTATATATAGTCATTTTTTTTTCAATATTTGTTATATTTAATTTTAGGCGAATAACAGGCTTGTTAATATGTTAACTTTGCTACACTAGCCAATAGTATACTACATACAAATTCACAGAAATTATGAATGATAATGTCAATAATTCGGAAACGTAATAGATAACAGACTCTTAGTTTAAATCAATACTTGAAACTAGTTTCAACCAAGTAAAACTTAAAACGCGTTTTATAATAAGATCGATAGTTAAGTTTTGATCTGCACTTAAACTAGTTACAGGCAATCAGAGTTCAATCTATACTTGAGACGTCTTTTAAAAAACGGGCCTAAGAGTCCATGTGCCGGTTAGCCCCCCATCTTACTCGGTAATAAATATCACAAAACTATCACTAGTAGTGCTATGAGCTCTGGAATACTGACTGTCTGAAAAACAGCCATGATTACAATTATAAATGTCTTTTGATTGTACCTGGAGTTATAAAATGAAATTTTGTTTGTTCACAGTAATAAGTAACAACTGAGTGTTATCGAAGTGCATCGAACAAGCTGTGATTGTGGTGGACGATTATCGCTACACACCAAATAGTCTTACTAACTACGTGCATTACTACTAACTGACTATGCATACCGTACAGTGATTTACTAGGATAATTAAGAAATAAGTTGCAAGCAGGAAATTATTATAATTCTTGCAGTGGTATGTTCAGTCTACGATCAGGTGTATCGAATTATGCTCTTACACGATATGCGTAGTTAGTTTGTTAGCAATAAGTGTTTGTTGTAATATTTACTTGTATTTTTGATATAAGTGATTATTAAAGACTTATTTTTTATTTTCTTAGTATTATTTCAACTATAATCGGCCCATATTAAACAAAAAGAAGTGTTAATTTTTTATCAATACTTAGTCAAATGTAAAAACAAGTGATCTCTTATTTAATACTGGGAATGGATATGGCAAACTTTATTTTTAATTTAATTTCAAATTGAGGGACAGTTAAGTATAAATATGGAATATGTTAGAAGATTATTTTTTTGTTAAAAGTTAATTAAATAATTTAATTAATTAGTTAATTATTTTCCACAAGCAACTTTCTATGACTTCAGTCTTTTTTTAATGTGACAACCGAGATTTTTTTCTATCATTATTTACCTCACAAACATATCTGCTGTCTCATGCTTTAAGTCTGACCTTCTTCAAACTTTTCATCAAAGCATTTTATGAATGACAAAGGATAATATAATCAGCAAATCATGCTGATTATATTATCCTTTGTCAGTCTTCAGTCGTGAAAATTAATAATTATAAATTAATAATCATAAATAATAAAGAATATTCAATGTAACTTGTACCTGCTTATTTTAGAAAGCTGACGTATAGCTAGATAGATAACTCTTTATTGTACAATAAAAACATAATAATCAAACAGTTTGTATACATTGATGTAAGTCTTATAATGTAAAGTTATATAAATGAAACAAAGAAAGTAAAATATTAAAAGTTTTACCATTGGCGGCCTTATCGCTATTTGCGATCCCTTCCAGGTAACCGCTGGATGGTGAAGGAGAACAGGAATGAGAGAAGTTGCAATTTGTAGATCGAAGTTTTTATATTATATTTTCTATCTTATTATATTTTCAAAGTTATATCTTTCTCAGGTTGAGGATGATAAACGATAGGGCTCCTTGTAAGGAAGGTAATATTTTGATATTATAACGCTATGAAATTAAGTTTTATGGCAGGTATCAACAAAAAGCTATTGAAGTATTTTTCTATCTGTTATTGTTTATGTGCGCAGGTTACATTTAAACTATTGTTAAATATGGCGGCCGTTTAATAAATTAACAGTTTTTCTTTTATACATTGACCTTTGTTACCTTATTTGTAATCTTGATTTGAGACTAAGTAATAAAAAAAACAGCAATTTAAAAATGAATACAAATAGTGTCTCAAGCAACCTAGTCAACTAGATTTATTACATAATATTAAGAGACAAAGAAATCGCTAAGCATATACTCCAGTTAAGTTAATACAACTCAAAAGAGCAGAACGCAGTATATGTAAAAGTTATTTACAAGTTCATAGTTTAAAATGTAACTTTACAATGAACTTAAATAAAATGTATACACATTGTTTCTTAAATGTGTGAATTCTTCTGTGTATGTAGAGGCAGTTCTGATGTGAGTTGTCTGCAGCCCAAAATACCTTTCTTTTATCGATCAATTGATACTAAAACTAACTTACACTTGTCCTAAAGTAACAAAATATATAGGTACAATTAAATTGCACGGATTTGGCCGTATAATAAAGTATAAACAGATTGTCTGAAAAATAAAGAGCAAAAAGAGCGACTGTGTAATTAATAACACTTGTGTGCAATAGCAGCATCTCATTTAATACTAGCTGTCAAACGCTATGTGTATAGGACTTCCGAAAAGCTAAAAGTATCTTGTGTGTAATATATGAGTTAAATCAAAACTGGCTCGTACAAAAGTCATGATGATTATAATGCGAGCCTGTTGCTATATTTTCTTTAGGAGTTTTGTTTAACAATAGATTTTCATTGTTTTAGGATGTTTAATACATTTGTGCCCATTCGTATTACTTTAACTATTATTACAGTCGCGTCACGTGACAATGACAGTCGCATTTATATGAAAATATAGTGTGTGTAAAGAAAAATATTCATTTATTCACAAAATTTAGCGACATTCATAATATAAACACTAGAAATAAGAATAAACTCGTGTTGCCAACTGATAGACTACAGAAAGCAAACAAGTCTTTTTGATTTTATGGTGTGCAATTCTAGCAGAGGGAACATGGGGTTCCCACACGGGGGGGGTCGTGTACTCGTCTGTAGATGGCCCGAGGTATGTCGGGGCACCAGGGATTTTCTTTCTAGGGTATACCTGGTTCCCCGGCTATTAGTAACCGAGACGGCGTGCGGTTTTAGTCGGTTCGAGTCCGACATGCCACCACATAGGTGGTATCCGAGGGGATTTCCGCACGGAAAAAAAAAAAAAGGCTGTGCAATTCTACAATTAAATTCCAAGCAAATTTCTTAAATTAAGTATCAACAAATTTAAATCCTTAGTAAAACAAAAACTATGTGAAAATGCTTATTACATGGTTAAAGATTATTTAGATGACAAAGCTTGGGATTGATGCTGCTCGCTCCCACATTTGCGTTTCTATCATTGTTATTATGTTTGAAAGTTACGAACATTAAATTTTTTCTTCAAATTCATATTTCGTTTGTTTGTAATTTCTTTAGTATATTTATAGTATAGTGTATTATATTGTATTTGTATACGTAAAGTATATTTTTGTGTAAGTATGGAAATGTGAGTATAGTGTAGGCATGTAATGTTAGTTCATATATTAGTAACTTTCTGGTGGTTTTGAGTGTTTCCACGGCCTATTCAAGTGTTCTGCTGACGGTAATGTCGTGTTCCGGGTTGTTGATCCTTACAATATTTGTTAGGCTACGCGATGGCTGGACCCGTATGCCGTCTGCCTGGACGGGACGGCTCAAAACTATGGTCCTTTCTTCAAAAGGCGAACCCAAACCCTATCACATAGTTCTTTTTTTCTAGAGCGAGTTTTAGGAAATGCCGGCGCCTTCTAACTGTAAATTATATCTGAAAAGATTTACTTGCACAAATAAATATCATTTTTCATTATCATTTTATCATTTATTATACTTGGTTTGGTACCTTATTAAGATAGGACCAAAGTGATTGTGTAAAAAAGTCTATTCCCCAACAATACGTTGCTAGGTCTACTACAAAAAAAAAAGATGTGTGAATATTTTAGGTATTTCTACTGAAAACTTATCGTGATCTTGCAAAGGTCGACAATCGAAGTCGTGGACGCTATGCGCTATCTAAAGGTTTTTTCGGAAAATAATGAAGGATGCCTATTGGATGGCAGGTGAAGTCTAAAGATGGAAATCATTATGATGATGGTAATGAACATAGACATTTTAAATAATCCCATTTGAAAACCAAACACACTATACTTTAACCGTCATGTTTTGATGTTTGGGTCTCAAAAACCAAAACATATAAAGCTAGTCATGACATCATTGTAAAAGAAGATATTTAAATACTTCCCCGAAAATCGAATAATGTTCTACACTCGTATTAAGTTCATTAATTATGATACCTAATACCTACGATGTCATATTTTTAATATTTCCAAGTAAATTCAACGCGGCGTAAACAAGAAAATGAGCTCTTTAGAATGGCACACCTATGGGGAAAAACATATGTGGAAGATTACCAGATTTATATTAAAAGATACTGGTGTTTAGGTATGTAACTTTTTTAGTTGTTTGTTTTTGCGATTGATACGCCGGTTGCGATTGCAAAGGAATATAATGTAAAAAGGCACTATGAAACGCAGCATCCTACTTTTACCAAGTTTACAGGCGAATTAAAAAAGCAAAAAATGTTGTCTTTAAAACGGGAGCTTATTGGTCAGCAAGCTATGTTTACAAAACCCATTCAAGATTTAGAAACAGCTACAGAAGTTAGTTATAGCCGCTAAGAAAAGGGGCCGGGAGCAGCAAAAAAGTTTGAGAAAATTCAACTGAATCTAATGACTATCCAAAGACGAATTATGTCTTTGTCAGGTAATATTGCGGAACAATCAAATGAAAAAACTAAGATCATTGAATTTTTTTCATTAGCACTCAACGAATCCACTGATATTAGTTCCACAGCTCAACTTCTCATATTCATACGAGGTGTTACTCAAGATTTTGAAGTCTTAGAAGAGTTATTAGGAATGTGTTCATTGAAAGGTCAAACCAGAGGAGTTCATATACGAGTACTACAAGAAAACCCTCTGTTCTAAAAAAATTAAATTTCAATATGTCATGAAAGTGGTAGTTTCGACTGTAAATTTCATAAAATCACGAGGACTCAATCACAGGCAATTCAAACAATTCCTTGATGACATCGAAAGCGAATATGGAGATTTACTGTATTATACAGAAGTAAGAAGTAAGGGGGAAGTCGTGGATTGACACTGGAACGATTTCTAAATTTAATAGAAGAAATTGGAATATTTCTGCCGGAAAAGCAAAGGGATGTCCCGGAACTTAAAAATCCTGATTGGTTGTGTGATTTGGCTCCTTTAGTTGACATTACAAATCATTAGAATGTCTTGAACACACGGCTTCAAGGCAAAAATCAACTGATATCCCAGCTCTACGCTCATGTATCATCCTTTCAAGACAAGCTGACACTTTTCAGATCGCAATTGAATTCTGGAAATTACAATCATTTTCCGAATTATAAGAAAATGGCTGAAAAATTCAACAAAACTGCGATTAATTTCAGTTATGTAGAAAAGCTAGATATTTTGATTCAATCTTTTCAAGACAGATTTTCGGAGTTTTAACAAAGTGAAACCTCTGTTGGACATACTCAGCAATCCTTTCACGATTTCAGTTGAAAATGTGCCAGAGTCAATGCAGTTAGAAATTATCGACATTCAAAACG